ACCTTCATCGTAATGACAGATGTAGTTATGGATGGTGCTTCTTGCTTGAATGCTGCTGGATACTCTGCTCTCTCTTAACATCCAGGAAGTCTGAGAATTTCATGCCCATTCTAGAGGGTAGAGCAAGCAGTAGGGTGATGGGGTTGGGGTCCTCAGGCTAGCTCACTGAGGTGTGGTGGGGCCTTGAGGAAGTCACACAGCTATTCTGGCCTTCTGTGACCCGCATCTCTGAGGTGAGGACAGCAGAACTTATTAGTCTATACGGAATGGCTGTGAGGTCAAAGTTACTTGGAACTTGTTCTCATATGTTGATAATATGTAAAAGGTTCCATGGCTGGTGTTAGCAGATCTGGGGACATGTTTTCCAACCAGAAATATGTCGGGGAATTGGGGCTAACACTGAGCGTCTGCTCTGTGAGGACTCCTTTACATTTACTCATCTGTTTTCATCTGTAGAAGAAGGTCAAAGTAGTCATGGAAACACTCTACAGAGGAGGGAACTGAGGCACACACAAGATCCTACAGCCAGTAAGTGTGTGAATCCAGGGAACTGGATTCTAGATAATGTCTCCTGTAATGGGTGAGAACATCTGGTTGTCATTCAGAAAACGGAGTAAGACCATCAGTCAAGGTAGAGTGAATGCGTATGAGTGTCTCAGGGAACTTCACTCTTAATGCCTCCTTTTGGTCTGTGGTCCTAGCTTTTCACACGGTCTGGGTGAGGCTAAGGAGATTCTCAGAGGATTTCCCCTCACTGAGAACAGAGAGAATCAAGCACATTCTCTGTGTGCCCCAAATCTGTCTGTGACTCACCACCGATTCTTCACCAGCGAGATGAGGGCTGCCTGTGGTGTGCATCTCTGGGCCCCGAGGCCTCATACCCATCTTTCTGGTCCTCAGTTTTCTTCTGGGGAAAAAGGAATGTTCTGGAATATATAGACTGTGCAGTCAGATGGACCTAATTTTGGGTCCTGACTCAGCTGTCTGCCTGTAAAGAGCTAGCCTCTGAGTCTCAGCTTTCTAACTGTAAAAGGGAGATGATCTTGAAGTCTTCCAACATTGCCATGAGGGCTAAATCGCGTAGGGCTTACAAAATCCTTAGCTCGGTGCCTGGGGCACAGTAACCCTCAGCTTCATGTCACAGCTGTCTCCTGTCCACACGCCAGACCTACAGATTCATGTGTCGACTGTGTGCATTCTTAAGTAGACTTCTGCTAATTATCAACTTATTTAACCCTCACACAACGTGATTATTCCCATTTTATAGACAGAGGAGTGGAGTTTAAGCCATTTACTCACCCAGGTTTAAGCCGGGGGTAGTTTATCTCTAGGACCTACACCCTTGAATGCCCAAAAGTACTTGCAAAATGGTTAGCTAGGGAACAGTGATTTCTCAGCTGGGGCCAGCTTTGCCCCCTGCTGCCCCATAGGTCATTTGACGGTGTCTGGAAATAGCCTGGATGTCACAGGAAGGGATGCTACTGGCATGCAGGGACAGAAGCCAGGGGCGCTGCTTACCCTCCTCCAGTGCACAGGGCAGCTGCCTACAAGACAGAACCATCAGGCCCAGCATGTCCACAGTATGGAGGCCGAGAAATCCTGCTATTGAGTGGGACAGGACCACACTCCCCAAGGGAGCTTCATGGCTGCAGGTATTTAAAGGAGTTTGTAAGGTGAGGTGAATGCAAAGGCTATTCCTGGGCCACTGGGGATGTGTCTAATGTCTGGTGTAGGGGTTGAGCCTGGAGAGCTGGATGCCAGCTCAGCAATGAGTTCAGACGACTGACTGGGCTGTTTCTGAGCCCCTCCAAGCCCCCAGATTCCTCAGAGGTGCAAGGCAGGCAAGAGTTCCTGCCTTCCAGGACTACGAGGCTCAACAAGGCAACATGTGTGTCTGGCACGCAGTGAGTGCTTAGTGAGCCGGCAGAACTGTGATTATGCAGGGGGGGGGGCAGGGACGGGCGGGGCGGGGGGCTTCTTGGGGCTGGAGCCAGAGCGGGGACGGATTGCTGGGTCAGCACCAATACACGCTAGCTGGAGGCTGCCTGCTCCCTGGAGAACAGTGGAATGAGCAAAATCAGATGCCTGGTGACACTGTCTCTAGCCAGTTTCCCTCCCTGTGAAGCAGACTTGTCTGCAGGGGACGGTGGAAAGCATCCTCTCTCCACATCAGGCTGTTTTTATAGTTGTGTGATGTGGATGGATTTTGTTTGGCTTCATTTGTTGCCCGAGGTTTTATCTGCCCAGCCCTAGCACCAGACATTCAGAAGTAGGGAGATAGACGATACCTACAGGTTTATAACATCCTTGATTCCTGTCTTGTGAATGGGAAAATCAGGTAAGTTGACAGCACTGGAGGAATTTTTTCTATGGGTTAATGGTATTTTCTTCTCCATTAGGCCAAAATAGAAAACTGGTGTCTGTTACTCTCTTTCTCACTTACGCATACCCATCCCTCCTCATTTTTGCTCTGTCTGGAGACCCACGCAAACTGCATGCTTTCATGTATTATCTGAGATATGAACATAACCCACCAGCTTCTAGGACTTTCCACGAGGCACAGCCAAATTATCTGAGTCGTGATCTCTATTTCTTCCCTCAATAGAAAATCCAAATGTGATTGGTAGATTTTTAAGAGTACAGCTCTAAAGTCACAGGCACCTAAGTCTTTTTAGAGAGATGTTATATTTTTAATCAAGTAAACATTTTAATTACTAACATGCCTCCCACCTCCTACCCTCCCACTAATTCTGCTTGTGATTTTCTCATGGGTCTCCTGTGAAATGGAACAGCAGCTTATATCTTTGGAGCCCTTGATTATGAGAGCTGAAAAACCCTTGGTAGAAGTTCCCAAGGGCTAATATATTATTATTTTTTTTTTTTCTGAGCTACAACAGTTTCTGCATTGTTTCTGCTTTATGTATTTCTTTTCTGAGCCATAATAGTTTTCTGCATTGTTTCTGGGATTAACAAAACTAGATTTCAGAGCAGATCTGCTTTGCCTTATATTTGGAAGTCTGTAGGAAGAGGGATCTAGCAAGGAATGAATCAAATTATCCCCTCCCTCCATCCTCTTCCTATTCCTTTACTTAGCCTAGAGTTCTGGTGGTCACTGGGGCCTCTCATGGGTTTTACTGGCAAATGCAATTGAGCCCCTTAAATAACATATGCCCATATAAAGGGAAAAATGCACTAGGAGAAAGACCAGACCTGGATTTCATCCTTGTTTTGCAACCAACTAACTATGAAAACTTAAGCATTCTACATGACTTCCCTGTCTTTGTTTCTCCTTCTGTGAGATATGTGGTCAGGGGTTGTGGGAGGGGTGGTGGTGGTGGTCCTATTAAATCTCAAATGCCTTTAGGGATTAGGCTAATGGGGAAAATGAATGAAGTGGGCTGGACAGGGCCTGTCCCCTCTAATGGGGAGTCTTTTTCTCTAGCCAATTCCATTCCCAGTGCTAGGTGAAAATGCGGGCCCAGGGGTATCAGATCATTCCCTCCCCCCCTTTTTTTAAAGAGAAGCCTAAAACCCAGAAGTTGAAGATTTTAAATGAAATATCTTGATTTATCAGAAGTTGGGAATGACTATTTGGTGGATAAAATAGATCAATGGACCAAATATGGCCCCAGGGCTGAAACATTATTTCCTCTGAACAGAACTTCCTCTATGATCTTGACCTAAACAGCTTCCTACCATGAGTGCTCAAATACGTCACACACACAAAAAAGTCATATTTGATCCTAACTAGCCATAGCAATCCTGATAAAGGAGAACAAAGCTTCCTGATTTCAAACTACATTACAGGGCTATAGAGATCAAAATAGGATGGTTCTGGCAAAAAAGCAGACTCATAGATTAAGAGAACACATTAGAGACCAGAAATAAACCTACATATACATAGTCAATTTTTGACAAAGTTGCTGAGAATATAAAAATGCAGAAAGGATAGTCTTTTCAGTATACAGTGTTGTGAAAATTGGACAGCTATATGTAAAAGAAGGAAACTGGACGCCTGTCTTACACACATACAAAAATTAACTCAAAATGCATTGAAGACTTGACTGTAAGACCTGAAACCATAAATTCTTAGAAGAAAAATAGGAGGTAAATTCCTTGGCATTGGTCTTGGCAATGATTTTTCATCTTTGACGCCAAAAGGCAACAATAGCAAAAGAAAACAAGTGGGACTACATCAAATAAAAAGCTTCTGTCCAGCGAAGGGCAAGATCAGCAAAATGAAAAGGCACTGATGGGATGGGAGAAAATATCTGCAAACCACATGTCTGATAAGGGGTTAAAAAATATATAAGGAACTCACACAACTCAATAGCAAAAACAAGAAACAAAAAACAAACCAAATAACCCAATCAAAAAACAGACAAAGAACCTAAAAACACATTTTTCTAGGGATGATATACAAATAGTCAATGGTACATGGAAAGGTTCTAGACATGACTCACCATCAGAGAAAAATCAAAACCACAATGAGCTGTTACCCCCTACCTGTTCGAACGGTTAGTATATTAAAATTTAACTTTAAAATGAACTTTATTAAAAACTTACCATGTAATCCTGACTTTTTTTTTTCCTTTTCAACAGATTCTTGTAAACTTTGCCAGAAGGCAGGAACCACTGTATTCTTCCATCTAACGGCTTACAATCATATGCTCCTTAACAGAGGACTTCGTATAATATGAGCACCCAATATTTAATAGTAGTGTATCAGGATAGCTTTCAAATAAAGATTCTTTTTTTTTTTTTTTGCCTTTTAATCAGAAACCCTGTAGGAGATCTCCAAAGACTTTGATTTTAATGAATAAACATGCCTTAGCTTATATCCTCTGCCCTTGGGGCTTGCGGATGGAAATCAGGTAGGGTTTCAATATGGATTCTCACTTAAAAGGCAAACCATCACATTAGAATCTGACTATGTGAGAAGGTCATGCTAGCACCGCATTTGTGGGGTGCCTGCCCATGGGAGGGAAGAAGAACTTTACCTTTGGAATGCACATTGTGGGCTCGGACAAGCGAGGGTAGGTGTAGGAGTTGTATGAGTGTCCTTGGGGGTGTGTTTTAAATGCACTTCCTCCGAAGGGCATCATGGGTTCCTGGAGCCCTGAGCCTGACCTGGACCTCTGCCGCATGGTGGGCTGAGGGCTGGTCTGATGCAGGTAGGACGACTTTGGCCTCCTATCATAGTCATCCAGGCTGGGTCCCCACTCGCTTTCGCTGAACGCCAGGCTCTCCTTGGAGAACCCACTGGTCCCCGCAGTTCTAGAAGGCGTGAACTGGAATGGGTAATCTAGAGGGGAACTGCTTGAGGCTCTCTGATACTCCCACTTGAGGTCGCCGTATTCACTTGGTTTGCTCAGTGAGTCCAAGTGTGCGTGATAATCAAGGGGAAATCTGGCGAGATCGGATTTCCAAGGCTTCATCTCAGGATAGTGGGCCTCCCCGTGTTTGGTCTTGGTAACATGCCCATTTTGCTTGGCCACGTGGCTGCTCTTGTAAAATGGATCCAGGTCATCGCCATATAGACTCTTTTCTCGATACTTCTCGGTTGTGTAGTCAGCAGTGGTATCAGATTCGCTGGAATACTGTGAGAAGGTGATGAAGCCATTTTCTTCCCGATGGCCTTGACCGTGGCTGGAGGCTCCCTGGTCTGGGGTAGGCGGGCTTTCCTTCCTTAGGGAGTTGGAGCGAGTCACGGAGATGTTGTCAAAGTCCTCTAGCAGGCCGTTGATGGAGGTTTCCTTGCATGGTTTAGTTCCTCTAACGATTGTCTGGGAATAGTAAAGGGAATGCCATTTAAAGAAAACATTTCATGCTTTCAAACTGATGCTGGAATCCCACCCCTATTCCATCTAATTTAAACCACAGAGGAAAAATGACCCCAGGGAATCCCCTAAAAAGTGATAATAAACAAAAATTGTTGACTGATTTCAGTGGTGAAATAAGTCACATATTCTTAAATTGCAAATGATCTTAAGCTGCAAATTTTCTTTTACCTCACTCAATTGAAAGATCGAGTAAACATCAAAAAGCCATTTAGAAGACTATATAAGATTATATAAGCAATTATTGTCTTATTTGCCAGTTTAGGGGAAACCTCCTCCCCACCCCATCCCATCCTTAAATAATAAACCCTAACCACCTAACAATAGGCTGATTATAATTTTAAGTGTATAACTTGTAAGAAAAATCATATTTATTATTTTTTACATTCATTATTCAGATTATTTGCAAAACCAGTAAACACTGTCATGTGAGTATTAATATACCCAGAAATGGGCACACTTTTTTTTTTAAGCTTTTTATGGAAGACATGAAAATTGAAGTTACCAGATTTTAAGGAGGAGGAAGGCCCTTTCTGAACTGTAAGTAAGGAAGAGCATGAAGATTCCTTGGGAGATTTTATTTGTGATCACATGTGATATTCTCATTAATCATCTAACTGTAATGCCTCCTAGAACCAGACTTTGGTAACATCATCGCTGACGTCTGGACGGCTTAGTAATTGACACAGTCATACTTGAAATCTTAGTGACAAACTGCCTGGCCCAAATATTCCCTTTAACGAACCTAAATAACACCGGAATACCAGGAACAGCAAGAAATCACAAACCATTTACAAAGCCAGTCAGCTGTGCCTTCACAATGACAAGGTTTGCCGCAAAAGATGACGGGGGTGGATCAAAGAACAAAGAACAAAGTGTTGTGACTTCGGTCTTCCAGGATTGTAAGAGAAAAATACCTTTGAGCATGTAGCAAAGGAGTTCAAAATCATCTCAGTAGAAGAGAGGGTTTCAAACTAGAGGGAAAAGTCAAAGTTATAAAGCTTATACCTTCTAAGATCAGTGTTTCTCAAAGTCTCCAGGATGAAAGCCAAGGTTTTGTTTTTCTCTATCCAATCAGTCCGGGATTAAGACTTTTGGTCTATACTCCTCTTTTAAATAAACTTTTATTTTTAAAAATTTTTTTAAAAAGATTTTATTTATGTATTTGACAGAGAGAGACACAGCGAGAGAGGGAATACAGAAGAGGGAGTGGGAGAGGGAGAAGCAGGCTTCCTGCAGAGCAGGGAGCCGGATGTGGGACTCGATCCCAGGACTCTGGGATCATGACCTGAGTCACCCAGGTGCCCTTTAAATAAACTTTTAATTCTGGAATGGTTTTAGATTAACAGAGAGGTTGCAAAGAGAATATACGGAATATACTCATATATCCCCTACTATACTTTTAACATCTTACACTGTTATTAACCAAACATGAGCTCCTTTCCTAGTGTTCCAGGGTCCCATCCAGGATATGATGTGTCATATCTCCTTAGTCTTCTCTGGCCTGTGATAGTTTCTCAGATTTTCCTTGTTTCTGATGACCTTGCCAGTTTCAAGGAAGAGTGGTCAGGGGCTCCACAGAATATCCCTCAACCAGGAATGTCTGATATTTTTCCCATGGTTAAATTGAGTTTATTGGTTGGGGGGGGGCGTGTGTGGGGAGATCATGGAGTGAGGTACCAATTTTATCACATCATGTCCAGTGTGCCTATGATCAACGGGGCTTATCACTGATGATGGTGGCCTTGGTCATCTGGCCCAGGTAGTGTTCACCAGGTTTCCACATGTAGAGTTACAGTCCCCTCCCTTCCCTGCTTTCCAAACCATACCCTTGGAAGTAAACCACTCTCCCTCCTTGAGTTGGGTATATATATAACATATGTGGAATTCTTCTGCACAGGAGACTTGCAAGTTCTACTTACTTATTCAATTATTCAGTTTGGTCAGTATGGATAGAAATCATGGATATTTGCTTTATTCTCTGGACTATAACCCTAAGCTATGTTTTGTTCTGTTGCTCTAATTGTTCCAGCTTTATTTATTAAGAGTTATTTCAGACTGGCTGCTCTGTCCCTTTCCCAAACCCCATCTTCTTATTTTTTGAGCCCTTCCTTACCTTTTGGCTCTACAAGATGCCCTGGGTTCATCTTGTCAGTTCCCTGCCCTTGCCCTAGAATCCACCATTTATCCAAGAGGCCTGGTTCCTTGAACTGGTTAATGACACTAGAAACTAGTATCTGGCTGCTGGGTGTGCTCATTGCTACTGGGATGACACTGGTTTCAGACCGTCTCTGTGAACACAGCCAGGCAATCCATGGATATACACACTTCCCCCAGTAGGCACAGAAATTTCTAAATATATCCGTCCATCTGTAACTATATTAAGCTAAACATGAATTCTTACTGTTGTCTCTGAATTTCATCTAGGACCACATGGTTCATTCCAGCTTTCTCTCTTATTTGTTGGTGAAAAACCTGAATCTTCATCTGCCATTCTTTTGGATATTCAATCCCAGTGTATAGATGTAGTCATTTCAGAATTATGACCCCACACCACCATGGGAAACACTGTTGACTGCGAGAGTACAGTGTTTAGTATGGGCTTTGGGCTTAAAGCTTCCATTCAAAGAAAGCCTTGTTCTCCAAAGTTACTTAGGTAACACCCTCTTCAATGACATTGTAGCAGGTACATTCTTCTTCCACAGTTTGTATTCCATCCTGGGATCCTCTTGATCTCCTGGTTGGCTTAAAAAATTAGTCTTTGTGCTGGAAAGTTCTGTGGGTATTGATAAATGGGAAGCATCATGTATCACCATTACAGAGTCATACAGATTAGTTCTACACCTGCCCCCTCAAATTCTCCTAAGCTTCCCCTGGTGAGACACCACCTCCTCCCCAAACCTTTGGTATACTGCTGATCTGTCTTCCACTGTTACAGTTCTGCCTTTCCCGAATATCATATGAAGGGAATCAAACAGTAAGGAGCCTTTTGGTCTGGCTTCTTTCATTTACTATAATGCATTTAAGGTCAATCCAGGTTGTTCTGTGAATCAATAGTCAATTTTTCCCTATTCTTCTTTAAAATCACTGAATAGTATTCCATTATATGGAGTGTTATGACTGTTTGTGGGGGCGACATATAAATGGATTGTCCAAAGAGGTGGTATTTTGTGTGAGCATCCCCCAGAGAGAAAAAGAACCAGGTATCATATATACATCAGGACCTCTTCTCAGAGCAACAACATCTATGCCCACCACAACAGATGAACTTGGGAGAAGCAATACCTTGCACAGGGAAGGGTGAGCATAGGGGAGAAGAAAGGAAGAAATGGACATCTTTTGATGCACTGAGTACGAATGCTAGAAACTCACCCTCAAAACTCTCATGTCTATCTGAGCAGCTTCCAACTGCATCTCAGGTGTATCTTAGCTGCTTATCATTTCTCTTTCTATTTGCTCAGGGTGTTCTTCAAACTTTCCTAGACATAGGTACTGTTACTTTCTGTGGATTTAACAACTGGCCTCCTCTCTTTTTCAATAATGCTTTGTACAAATTTTTAAAAAAGACTTATTTATTTATTTGAGAGAGCGTGAGTGAGCAAGTGCATGAGGGAGGGTAGGGGCAAAGGGAAAGGGAGAGAGAGAACCCTAAGCAGAGTTCCTACTGAGCAAGAAGTCCAACGCAGGGCTCGATCCCATGACCTCTACATCATGACCTCAGCCGAAATCAAGTCCGATGCTCACCTGACTGAGCTACCCAGGCGCCCCACGTTTTGTACACATTTTTAAGAAAATGGTATTAATTTGTTTATATCACAGTGGACCAACTAAAAGTCTTTTTAGCCAGCATTCTGGATAGAGATTGTACTCTTGCACATTCCTATTCTCTCTAACAACACCTGGCAGATTACTCAATGAAATGTTCTCAGGGATTTGCGGTCTTCCCCAAAAGTAGCTTCCCGGTATTTCTGATCCTGGGCATTCATACTGAATGATACGCCATGTGAATAATGACTATAAGGTATGCCAAGGCCTTTAAGTACCTTCTCAATTATTGGACCTGTTTGGATAATCCTTTAACCAAAATATTATCCAGACTTTCTCTGAACTTGACAAATAATAGTTAACTATATTGCAATTTTTCATGTTCAATGTAATCTTTGGGTCTATATCCCAGAAAATAAAAATCATTTCTCTAAATTCTATCCATCTTAAACAATATTAATCTTTCTTGTCTGCTTCCATCCTTCCTATCTCTGAATACAGCTCTTGGACGACAGAATCACTTCTAGCATCTTAGTGCTGGAAAAAATCTAGAGATGATCGAGGCCTCCTCCTCTCTTTCCTGAGTGACACTAAAACTCAAAGCTGACTTTGCCCACTGACATATAACAGATCTGGGATTCAAACCCAAATCCTCTCTTTTCCAATCTAGTGTCCTCTCTCTCTCAAAGTACAGCGGACCCATGATGAATGCTGCATCACTTCGTTAGTCTAACTCTCTTTCTGAGATACTCTTCCGACTCTTTTGAGCTAAACAAAATAGCACCAGTTGGCAATGTAAACACTTAGTGTGTGACATCACAATCCATCAAAAACGGGTCAATAAAATACATATTTTCTACTGTTCATTCCATTCCCTAGTGATGAGTTGTTGAATTTATACCATATGGGCAATTCTAGGTTCTGGTTTTAATTTCAGCCACATTTGCTTTGTGATTTAGTTTCATCCTTTTTTCATGACCTAGTCTCCAATTTATAAAAAGGACACTATCACTTGATAGCTAGTGATAGCCTTCCCAGCTACCTCCAGGAACTGTAGAGGCTGATGGAGGGAGGGAATATATAACAGTTTTGAAACATGCCAATGTACACATGTACTGCCTTCCAGAGGACACAGATTTGTAAATCTGAAATGAGTAAAGAACATTAAACACAACTCATCA